GGGGTTGAACTCAGGGGCACTCTACCACTGAGCCACATCCCCAGATCTATTTTGTATTTTTTTTTAGAGATAGGTTCTCATTGAGTTGCTTAGTGCCTTGCCATTGCTGAGGAACACTTTTTGAGCTTTCAATCCTCCTGCCTCAGCCTCCCAAGCCTCTGGGATTATAAGCATGCACCACCACACCTGGCCATGTAAAGAACTTTAATTGGTGTAGCTACATTGAGAAGACAAGGGGATCCACATTCTTAGCCCTTTCTTCAAGGAGCTGACAATGACTTTGAAACTTTATACTAAGGGGGATGTGGGCAAGGACTGGGGTTTTTCATAGATGGCGGCTTTTCACAGCAGCCAAAGCAGGTACGGTATGATCCATCTGGATCTCAGGCTTGGTCAGGTGGACCTTGTGGTATGATAAGAACATTGTTGTGGCCCGTGGTTATGGGCAGTTTTGATTCTTCACAAGACATTTATCAATCAGACCTTTTGCTCCTGGAATATAAAGTCACTCAGAGCAAAGGGAACAGGTGCAATATGGAGACAGAGATGCCAAGTCTTTAATCCTTCTTTTAGTCACCCATTGGACATTTATTGCAAAAGTGAAGAGTCTAAGATATTTTTTTCATAATCTGATTTGTGGCATAATTTAGAGATTGTGGCAACAGGAGTTGCTTATGGACTAGATGTGGGAAGGCAGGAAAAATCAAGGGCAAACATAGGTTATGATCTCAGCAACAGGGGGGACAGTGATGCCTTTTCATGAGATGAGGGAAGGCAAGGGATCAGAGAGCAAGTTTGGGGAGGAAAAAAAACAAAGCAAAGTTTGAGATGTCTTTTGAATACCCATGTGGGCTAACACAGAGAAAGGGTTTGGAACATGTTTGCTAAAAGTGGGAATTTGGAGCTGGGCATGGTGGTGCACACCTGTAATCCCAGCAACTCGGGAGGCTAAGGCAGGAGGATTGTAAGTTCAAAGCTAGGCTCGGCAACTTAGCAAGGCCCTAATCAAGATCCTGCTTCAAATTTTAAAAATGGCTGGCTGGAGATATGGCTCAGTAGTTAAGCGCCCTGGGTTCAGTTTTCCTGGTACCAAAAAAAAAAAAAAAAAAAGTGTGGGAATTGGCTGATGGTCAGGATAGATGTCTTCACATTATTTTTATTTCAAATTTCTCTGATCTTGTGGAAGTAATTTTCTTGGAGGGGATAGATGGATAGTCTATGCAGAAACAAATAATGTCAGACCGAGATAAATGCCATGAAAGGGCTCTGGGGCTTTGGCTCAGTGGTAAGGCACTTGTCTTGCATGTGTGAGGAACTGGGTTCAATCCTTAGCATCACATAAAAATAAATAAAATATTAAAAGTCATGAAGATAAAAAGAGCACCTGGGTAAATGCACACTCATAAAGTAACAGTGTACACCTATAATTCCAGTGACTTGAGAGACGGAGGCCAGATGATCATAAGTTAGAGGCCAGTCTTAGAAACTTGGTGAGGCCCTGTTTCAAAACGAAAAATAAAAAGGACTGGGAGTTGACATGATGGCATATACCTGTAATCCCAGCAACTCAGGAGATTGAGGCAGGAAGATTGCAAGTTTGAGGCCAACCTCAGTAACTTAGTGAGGCCCTAATCAATATAGCCAGAGCCTGTCTCAAAATAAAAAAAATAACAAGAGTTGGGGATAAGAGCCCCTATGTTCAATCCCATGTACCAAAAACTAAACAAATAAACAAAAAAGACTGAGGCTGCAGCTCAGTGGTGGTAAAGTGCCCTTTACCCAATCCCCTGTAACAAAAGCAAAAAAAAAAAAAAAAGAAGCAGTGAAGCTGTCTGCCGATGAAAAGTTCAGTAGGGCAGGAGTGGGGACTTCAAGGCAGGCCTATTCTCAAAGGAGGGCAGAGTAGCCAACAGTGATCAACCTAGGAATCTCTGTGGCCTTTGAAGGTCCCTTGGAATGTTGGGAGAGAATCTGAATTGAAGCTAGTGCTGTGCAGGAAAGAGGAGTAAGGGGGCACCCCAGCTGCCCCACCTAGGGGCAGGGCCTAATTCCTGGCAGCTTGCCCTGGGCCCCGCCCTTTTCTCGCTCCCCTGACCACTGGAGACTGCCCAGCTGTTCCATTTGCCTGCTGCTTCCCTCTGGCTGCCCACACCCCTTGAGCAAAACCACTTACCAAGCTCCTTCTCCCAATACTGCGCTTGCAGATTCCTGTGAGTCTTTATCCATTCAGTCACTGTTTACTGAACACCTACTATGTGCTTAGGGCATTGGTGGGTACCACAGGAGAGGGCACACCAGACACTGACCCATGGGAAATAGTTTAAGCAATCATAACAGTTTGTACAGATGGCTTGGTGGAGGTCAGTGAGTAATCAAGTGATAAAACAACGGTTCTGGGGCTATAAACAAGGCCCTGTACTGCGCACCGGGAGCTCCTGGTCTAGTGGAGGAGGCTGTGACCTGTGTGCAGAGAGTGGGGATGCGTTTGGGGGCACTGGGAAATGTCCCAGAGCAAGTGACTCCTGAGCAGGGAAACTCAAGGGATGGAGTAAGATTTCACCAGCTAGAGAAGAAGGGGAGATGACTGCAGGCTGAAGTGTCAGGAGACAGGCGTGGCAGCAAAGTTGGAGGCGGTATGGGGGATGCCTGCAGACAGGAATGTGGAGCATGCAGCAGGCCAGAGGAGGGCGTGCTCAATTCAATCAAAAAGGGGAGGGGCTCTGGCTTTGCCAGATCAGAGGGTGCCCCCTTTCTGCTGAGCTCACAAATCCTAAGGTTTCTGTCCCCAGCTCTAGCCACTCTTTCCCTAGATCCGGTAGGAGGCTGGGAGAAGTGAACAAAGCCAGGACTTGAAACTCTAGCTACTACATCGTTCCACCTTCCAGGCCTGTTTCCTCTCCTATAAAATGAGAAGTAATAACAGTAATAGTTCCAACTGCCATTCATTGAGCCGTCACTCTTCACCAGGCACTCTTCCAAACATCTTACAAGTACTGTTGCATCAAATCACAACAGCAACTCTGAGAGGTTGTTTTTGCCATCATTCTCGTTTTCAGAAGAGAAAAAAGGTTGGGAAAGGTTCAGTAATTTGCCCAGGTCATACACATACCTGTCACATCAGGGATCCAAACCCAGGCAGTCTGGCTGCAGAGTCCAAGTTCTTCACCACTACATAGGCTTGGCCATGGCTGTCCTGTTCTGAGGGCTGCTGGTTCATCAACAAATATGTAAACTGAGCATGGTGGCACACGCCTGTAATTCTAGCACTTGGCAGGCTGAGGCAAGAGGATTGCAAGTTCAAAGACAGCCTCAGCAACTTGGCAAGGCCCTAAGCAACTTAGACTCTGTCTCAAAATAAAAAAGGGCTCAGTGGTTAAATGCTCCTGGACTCAGTCCTTGGTTCCCTCTGCCCCCCAAAATAATCTATTAAGCGTCTGCTGTATGCCAGTCACTGTGCTGGCTCTGGGTACACAGCAATGAGCAAGTTAGACCAGGTCCTTGCTGACACAAAAATGACATTCTGATGTCAAATAAACACATTAAAAAGTGAGGTGATGGGCTGGGGATGTGGCTCAAGCGGTAGCGCGCTCGCCTGGCATGTGTGCGGCCCGGGTTC